GTTTTTGCTGGCTGTAGCAGCGCTATAGCGCTGCTATAGCGCTGCACAGCAAAAACGCATATTGCATGTGCATGTGTATGTTTGTGTGTGTGTATGTGTGTTCGTCTGTCCGGGTATTTCAACCCGGCAACCAAGCAAGTCCAAGCGCCAAGATTTTGCAGGTGGGTTCCCCGACCAGGTGCCACCTCAGAACCGCGGTACTAACCTTCGCGCAAGTTTGGACCCGCTTACTAGAGGGTGAAAGTTTTGGCGGGAAAATTAATAACTCGGGAACGAGAAAAGATAGAAGGTTGAAATTTTGAGGTTATATTTCCCATTCACGTACAACTTCGAATTCAGCCCCCAAGTTTGCGTGGTTCCCGCGTACAGCCCCATGAGGGTTCCTGGCACGAAAATCGTTAGCTTGGGAGCCAGGAAAGCTGGAAGGCTGAAATTCTACAGGGATGCTCCCAACCTACATACAGCTTAAAAACTCCAAATCCAACCCCCAGGTCACGTGCGACCCAGTGAAAGTTTTGGCGGGAAAATTGTTAAATCGGGAACCAGAAAAGCTGGAAAGCTGAGATTTTAGGAGAATATTTCCCCTCTAAATACAACTTAAATGTTTCAAATTTAGCCTTCATTTACGCGTGGTTCTCGTGTATGGGCACTCAAATTTTCGGCGAGAAGGTTACTGAACAGCTGGGTCATTTTCAAATAATTGGCCAACGCACGGACTGCCCGTGCGAAGATGCGTTTTTTGCACAGTTCCCGGCAGTTTTTGTCGCTACGGGCATCGGCTTTTTCGGCAAATGCTTCTAGCTTAACAAATTAAGACTGGTCGCCAGAACTGGTAGGAAACATCCCCTTAAAATTTCAGTTTTCTAGCTCTCCTGGCTCCTGAGTTAGCAACTTGCTGAAAAACTTTCGCGTGCAAGCACATGGTACCACTCCTATCCGATTTTTGAGTTTGAACTCGTTACGACTTACTTGGACGGGGAACATCCTCTTAATATTGCAGCTTTCTAGCTTCTCAGGCCTCCGAGTTACGAACTTACCGGAAAAAAACTTTGGCGGGCCAATACGCGGGTACTACGCTTACCCGGGGGCTGGGATTGAGCTCATTTAGACTTATATAAACGGGGAACCTCCACCTTAAAGTTTCAACTTTCTAGCTTTTCTGATTCGCGAGTTAGTAGCTTACCTGTAAAAAAAATTGGCCAACGCACGGGCTGCCCGTGCGAAGATGCGTTTTTTGCAGA